CAGTGAACCCTACTGGTTCAGACTCTGCTTCAAGACATCCCACTCCACGATAGCATCAAGCAATTTCAGAGCCGTGTTCGAAGACCATTCATCTTACAATGCCCCGATCAAGCTGATGATCAAGTTCTTGAACAATCACCCTCTGTTTGGCCCTTTCGATTCTTTCACAGATGTTGTTCCCCTTTCCACCCTATTCAAATGTGCCTTTTCAGCCTATCGACCACTCGAGAACCCACAAGAAGTGCATCTAAACCTAGTTAACGATTCTTTAGTAATTCTGTCTAAAGAAAAGTTTCTTTCTGCCATTAACCTTCTTGTTCATCCTTCAATCAAGATTTTTACTCCATCAATGGCGGACATCACTTCTGCACTTTACCAAATGGGATATCAGAAGAAAATCAAAGGCATTGGAGAATTCAAGAAAAACCAACTGCCTGCGGTCTGGCAATTCGTTTGCCACTTTGTCATCCGCAGTCTATCCGGCAGAACCGGAGGCACGGATAACATGGGACTCAAACTCCTGGAGTTAGTATGGAGTATCTTCACAGGCCATGACGTGAACTACGGTCAGATTCTATGGGATGATTTTCTACAATACATTCCCAAGGAGAGCCCAAGGGAGAACCCTACCGAGCTTACATTTGCAAGATTCTGGTCCCTCTGCATTTCAGACCTCCATGCGGACGCAGGAATCAGCATGGGCAACGACATCAACTTCTTTGATCTTAAAAGGTACAATCCCTCATCTGAGCAATCTGTTTTTGGACCAATTAGAAGACTTCCAACCCACATTCTCTCCACTCTTGGTCTTGAGACTGCTGATGTCTCAGATCATATTGAGGCTACGGAAGGTATTGCCCCATACCTTCCTACCCCGCCTCTTCAAACCCCATCCGCAATCATTACCCCTGGAAGTACCGCAGTCCCATCTTCCACTATTCTCCCCAATCTTTCTCAAAGAAGAAAGAAATTGGCCTCAACTCATCAAGGCCCCCGCAATGTCTCCTAGAAACAAAGAACCCCAAAGAAAGATGCTCCCAAACCAACCGCACCCTCCAAGAAACGCAAAACCAAACCCAACCGCACCCGCAAATGACAGTGACTCTGATGAGGATGCGCAACCAATTGCCATCCTTAAGAAAAGAAAAACCAATCCCACTGGCCAAATGCGTGACCGGACTGATACCCTAGCCTCTCAAAAGGCTCCGGTAGTCCTTGGGGTGGCCGCAGACCCATTCAACACCACAATCAAATACCACTCCGGCTCAGAAAGTTAGTCTGTTTCATCTCATCGTGGAGACTCCCCCTCCTAGTTCATTCCCAAGAGGATAACACTAGTTCTCGCCCTAAGGTCTCCAGGGCTTCCCGACTGCATTTCTTTTCTCCTGAGGAGTTGAACTCCATCCTCTTGAATGTCACCCATACACTTCAAACACCTTCCCAACCGCAGGGCACTTCTTCCGCCCTTGCCGGAACTGAGCCGAGGCCAAACTTGACTACGGGTCAAGGAGACCGAGGAAGCTTAGGAAATCCTACTCTGCTTACATCAGTAACAGGTGGTTTAGGCACGGTGAGCACAAATGTGCAAGGATCCGTGGACCCGAAGGACACTTCGGTGCGATACCAAGGATTTGACGGTGACAACTCTAATGAATCATGGTTACACTACACTCCGGTATCTGAAGCCGACATCCAGAAATATGCCGCTTTTCGTAGGGCATTCCAAGCACGAAAAGATCAACAAATCAAGCAACAGCAGCAAAAGGAACAAGAAATCCAAGTTGTGGCTAAGTATTGGGCAGATGCAATTAACAATGCCAATACTGTATCCACCATACTGAAGGTTCAAGACTGGATGTCTGAGATGGCTGAGACAATCCGCAAGGCCCAGTCCACTCATGACGGTGCTGGTACTTCCACAATCCCTCCATCTACACCTGTTCAAGACTCACAAGACGAAGGAACCGCAATAGAAGTCAGCTCTGCTCCCACCTTCGGTTTTGATGATGTTGATCTACAAGAGGTAAATCAACCCTCTCCCTCTGATGATGATCTTATGATGTTTGATGAAGAAGAAGAAGGATCCAGTGGCTCTCACCATTCAACTTCTAAGCCCAAAGAGAAGAAGAAAAAGAAGAAGAATGCTGTAACAAGAAAAGAATTTTTGAGCCTGCAAGCAAAGGTTGATCAAATTCTTGCTGCGGTCAAGCCAACTCAACCGCAACCAGAAGACACTCCCGGACCGCAGTCCTTGATCGAAAAGATTGAACGCTTGGAAACTCGTGAGCGATTGGCTGCTGAACGAATTTCTCTCAAGGTCAAAATGGGAATTCGGTCCCTGGATAACAATCGTCAAGCAGATCACAAGGAATTTATGGCTGCTGCGGAACGCCTCATCTCTGAGGTGACCGCAATCAAGAAAGATCTACATGCAGCCATTGCGGACCAATCCTCCCAATCTCAAAAGCTGATAGTTGAGACTCACACTGCATATGAGTCCACTATCTCAGTCCTTCAAGCTACTATCAACCGACTGCAACGATCATTGTCAACCAACTTCCATGGTCCTGAAATCCTTCAACTCACCAAGGAAATTCACAGGCTGCTCTTCAACTCCACCATCCCCAACAATCAACAGTTGGCGGATGCCCTTAAAGCCCAGTTTCAGGAAGTTTTTGACAAGGTTGATGGCCTCAGAAAATGGCTTGAGGAAGCTCCTGCGTTGCATTCCTCAAGAGGGGGAAGTGAAGAAGAAGTCCATCACTCCAATCACTCCAAAAGCATCTCCCAACATTAAAGTCCCCCCATCATTACAGAAAGAATTCCTACACCCCAACCTTCACCGCAACTCTCTCATCATACATAAAGAATTCCTACACCGCAACCTTCACCGCAACCATCTCATCACACTCCACCACAAAAAGAGATCACTCCTGAGAAACCAGAGACTCCCCCTCACTTCAAAAATCTGGTTGATCACATGTCCTCTCCAAGCTCAAATGACTCTCCTGCCACCACCCAAAGGAAAAAAGACTGGAAAGCAGCTAAACTTGTTGAGCTTATATGGAGAGAATGCGGTTTTGACACTGTCATGGATGAATCCTTGATAAACTCTTGGATCAATCCCTACCGCAGACTGCTGGATGACGACTACAAGCCATACCTCACATATGCTGAACCCCCCTCGGATGGCTACTGGGATGTTCCAATCTCCCCAAATGCCAAATACTTCACAGTGTTTGAGCAATTTGACCGCAGCCTTCCAGACCACAAAAGACTGCCAATGGAATTCGAGAGACTGAGTCGATTTTATGCTAAGCATTCCTCTCCCATTGAGAAAATCTGGTCTAACGATAGACCATCCGCAGTCAAAAACTACAAGCTCCGGAAGTTCATGAAGGCTGACTTCATCCAATACACTCTCACTAGAAGGGAACACGACTATGTCCGCACCCAAGCTGACTTCCCCTGCATGAATCCTGAAGAAGTCTTTCTCATAGCTAAGGTGTTCCAGAACAAGTCGGAGAAGCACCAGAAGATGAAGATAGCTCTTGAAAGAGCTAGTACGTTTTTGAAGGAAACTGTCTGTGATTTTGCTAAAATCGACGCAGACATCTACCCCACCATTGCCAAGAAGATCAATCTACCACCACTCGATCCTGCACCAATGCCTACCGAAGGCTATCAAGAAAGATCCTTAGGTGCAACCAACTTCCCTGAACTCGGAGTCATTTTCAAAAGGAAGACCGATAAAGTCAAATACTTTATTCCTATGACTACCATGAATCGCCTCACCAGGAAGCAACTTGAAATCTGTCGAACCGCAGTCGAAAGATCAAAGCATACAACTGCCGAAGTCAAGTTCAAGATTTTAAGAAGGATCATTTGGTTGGAAAACGTCAGGAAGTTTTGGTGGATCCTGATCAAGTTTCTTAAACTTGATAGCTGAACGAAAGTTAAAAAGGTCACTTAGGGGAAATTGTTGAATCATGAAAAGTGACCCTCTTGAACTTCAGCTACCGCACCAACACTACCGCAGTCAAGCTCCCTCATCAGCAATAGCATTCCGAAGTCATCTAGCCAAACCGCAGTCATTCTTACTTCTTAGTTTATTTGTATTTCTGTAATACTCTCTATTGTCCAGTATGCCTTGCATGGATACTCTTAGAGAGTGAATGTAACTCCTTGAGTCTCTATAAATAGAGCTCATTCTTACTTATAATACACAATCTATCGAATCTGAATACACATCTCTGAAGTTATCTTTTCTATCTCTCTATCTACGCATCACTTCTTACTCTCAAATCTTACTAGAATATAACTGATTACAATCTCTCTTCGGAGCAAGTCTCTTGTGACTTAATCACTAAGTTTGATCTCACTTATTAACTTGGCTTGAATGCATTCCTCGTTATGAATCAACTTATGTGTATTCTTGATATAACAATTGTTGTCATTTCCATTTCTTTACTTTTCCGCAACTTACTCTCTAACCATCTAACTCTAACTTATTAATATTATTGTTGAGCTTTTAGATCCTTCGAGATTAACTATTCCGCAATATACTTGTTCTAACATTTGTTCAAGTGTGTCTCAAAGTTTTTCTCTCAACAGATTTTGTTGGTAACAATTTATGTAATGTTGGTATGGTGTTTATGGTCATCTTTTAGTAGCATTTTGGTAAAAATACGTGTAATGTTAGTATGGTGTTTATGGTCATTATTTTTATCTTTTTAGTAGCAATTATTTCACTGGTTTGTTACATAAGTTAAGGGGTAGTTTGGTCCTTTCTGTTTTGGTCACTGGTTTGTTACATAAGGTAAGGGTAGTTTGGTCCATTAGCATCATATAGCATCATACTTCCAATTCACTGTCATAAACATATACATATCAAAATTGGTCAACATTGGACCATACAAACTTCAAGTTAGTACATCAATACATACACAAAAAAATGGTCAATATCGGACCTTAATCGACATTAATTCATACTTAAGGACTTACCACAACTTCTTCCTACTTACGCCTTGTACACCATCAACATCAAAATTCCTACCATGACTAGTAAAATAACAAGCAAACCAATCACAAACCCTAACAAGAAATACCAAACTTATTTCACCATGATAAGGGTTCCTTTTTCCCTGTCCAATGTTTTTTTTCTTCTTTGCCATAACTTCAAGCAGAAGTTCCTTGTACAATGGACTTACTTCACCATCATACCATTCAAGGTAGCCACAATCTTCATCTTTATCGAGCCAGTACATGCACCCAAAGTCTCTTCTATCAGGATTCTTGTCACTCTTTGATATCTTCATTGGGGTTGCTAGTCAACAGTAGCACGTCCTAGAGGGGCCATTGTTTGACTTGTTTACCCCACTCGTTGATCCAGCTGATCGAGACAAAGACACCATTGTACAATCGTCGTGAAGAACTAAGAGGAAAAAGTGAAGATCGATCTAGGGTAATAACAGTTGAGGCCGTCATGGTTCATTTATAAAGGCTCAACTGTCATGTAGGATCTTAGCTGGATGCCACATAAGCTAATAACCCAGTCAGCAAAGTGAAACCGGTTGACCTGAAGGCAACCGGTAATATGGTTACATTTAGGAAAAAATAAATACCACGGTGTTAAAAGTGAGACAAAAAAAACACAGTGTCAAATTAGAATTTTTGTGTAAACTTAGTGTTTTTGTTCTACTTAGATCATCTCCAACTTATCTCTATTTTTTCCCTCATAAACAGAGTAAAAAATGGGGTAAATAATGTTTCATCTCCAACCCTATTCAAATTTTTACCCCAAAAAAAAATATTCGTAGAATATTCCATTTTTATAACTTATATATATTGTCAAATACACCCCTCTACTAATTAGATTTGAACAAATATATATTATATTTTTTCATTACAAATTATATTATCATAAATGAAATGTTTATATATAATAAATTTAAATTAATTATTACTTAATTATAAATAATTATTAAATAAATAAGATTATATTTATAATAAATACATCAAGGTCACGATCATATTTGATTGTTACCGTGTTTCAAGTCTTTAGTACATATTTAATTTTTCTATATGAATTCGATAAATAAATATTAAATTCTTATTTACAATTAATTAATATAAATTAGTATATAACATGATATTACAAATATTAAATATTGCATTTAAATTATAATTATTAAATAAAAATAAACTGAAAATATATAAAATAAAAATGAGAGAGACTAAAATTGACAACCAAAACTTTAACTTCATTTTTGGAGATATGAATAGTATTCCGCCATATTTTGGAAATACTATTCATATCTCCAAAAATGGAGATGGAAATGGGATAGGATTGGAAAAGAATGGGAGAAAGAATTATGAGAAATAATGTACTTTACAGATGGGTTGGAGATGTCTTTACCCTTTAAAAAAAAGGTTTAGGTCATTTTTGGTCACTTAACTTTTAGTTTTGTACTCATTTGGTCACTTAACTATTTTTAAATTTTAAAAAGGTCATCAAACTTTTGACTTTGTGCTCATTTAGTCACTTAACTTTTGGTTTGGTCACTTAACTTTTAGATTTGTGTTCATTTAGTCATCTAACTTTTAAAATTGTGCTCATTTGATCACTAAACTTTTAAAAAAATTTAAAAGTTTAGTGACTAAATAAGCACTATTTTAAAAGTTAAATGACTAAATATGATCAAACCAAAACTTAAGTGACTAAATTAGCACAAAGTCAAAAGTTTGATGACCTTTTAAAACTTAAAAAAATTAAATTACCAAATGAGTACAATACCAAAAGTTAAGTGACCAAAAATAACTTAAACCCTTAAAAAAATATTAGTTTTGTTAACTTTCAACTCAAATTGCAGTTAGTTTACTTTAATTTTCAAAATTAAAAAATTATTATCTTTTCACGTCATTACCTTTTTCATCTTTTGAACGGCACCGTCCTACAAAATTCGAAGTTTTGTTAGGTACGGAAGTGTAAAAAAATAAATAAATAAATAAAATAAAATAAAATTATTCTAATGAAATAATCGAGTATATATCCACTCATTCCCACCATAGAGAGCTGCACCAAAAAGATATTGGTTTGCAAAAAGGTTCTAAACAATTCGAAATATTAATTTATTTTACTTCAAAGTGTGTATATTTTAGTAAGATGTAAAGATATGATTACATTAGATATATATATATATATATCTATATATCATATATATATATATATATATATATATATATTATATATATATATCTATATATATATAGTAGATGAGGGTTCAATAAGAAAAAAAAAATGTTGATAATGGGAGAATCATCTCAGTCACAATTTATTTTGCCGCAAAACACTTAGGCGCGTACCGTCGGAAATGGATACGGATAAAACATGGGTTTCCAACCAAACAGGTTCCTTAAAACTAGCTAATCATACTTAATATACACAAAAACATCCTTTTTTTCGTTTTTTTATTTTTAGAAAGTCATTATTATCGAAAATTATTTATATATCAAAATTCATAATTTTTATTCTCTCGATAAATAGACATCCATATTCATATAGTTTTGAGATATAATAATTTTTTTTTATAGTTTCAGTTCTTGTTATTCATAAGTGAATAAAAATCTATCAGTTTTTTATTACAGTACATTCGTTATTTACTTGAATAAAACGTATGCGTAATTTTTTTATAGTTTAAGTATCGTTCATATATGAATATGACACGCAATAAAGTTTTCTTACTTAAAATATATTTTTTACATCATCTTTCATCTATATTATTTTAATATGAATAAAACGTTGTATTAGTTGTCGTCATATTTTTTTATATTCATATATGAATAAAACATTTATCAATTTTTGTTACAGTAATTTGTTATTCATATATGAATAAGTAGTATAAATGATACTTAAACTGTTAAAAAAAATATTATTTTTTTATTCATAAGTAAATAACGAATGTACTGTAGCAAAAATCTGATACATTTTTATTCACTTATGAATAACGATAGCCGAAAATATAAAAAAATAAATTTTTTATTTTATTTTAAAACTATATATCAATATTGATGTCTATTTGTAGAGAATAAAAAATCATGAATTTTGGTATATTTAAAATAATTTTTCGATATAAATAACTTCTTAAAAATTTAACAAAACGAAAAATAGTATGTTTTTGTATATATATATAGGTAATGATTAGCATAGTTTAATGAAACATGTTTTGTTGGAAACACATGTGTATTCCTTATCCATTTTCACTGGTACAACAAATGCTTTTGCGGCAAAAAAAAATAAATGATGCTGAGAATGATTCCCCCATTCTCAACCTTTTTTATTTTTCTCAATTGAACTGTACTATTATATATATATATCTATATATATAATATATATATATATATATATATATATATAATATATATATATATATATATATATATTATATATAGGGAAAAGTTCAATAGAGAACCATTATTAATCAAGGAACCAAGGAACAAATCCAAAGCGTCAGAATTTAAAGCGATCAACGGCAAAAGAAAGGGTTGTAAAATTTTATAATGGACGCACATATACCGGATTATAACAAAACACACTTCATTTTTTTCATTTAAATTTTTTTTTAGGCCAACTTTTTTATCGAAAAAAAAACCGAATATACCGTTGTTCACGATTTTTCGTCCTCTTTCCATAGAGATCCATGATAATAAATAAAAAACGAACTTTTTTTCGAAAAAAACTCACTTAATTTCCTTAGTTTTTTCAATATTTAAGTTTATTTTTATCAAAAAAAACTAATTATATCAAAAATATTAAATTTTGTACTCTATTAATAAACATCAACACCGATTAAAAAAAAACCTCGAACAGTGTAGATTCACACTGTGAATCTAAACTGTAAATATTTCAATTTTTAACATTCCCAATATGAAAAATCTCAAACAGTTCAGATTCACATTGTGAATCTGAATTACTATTATGCACACTGTGAATATGAGAAGGTTAAAAAAAAAAAAAAACCTCGATCAGTGTAGATTCACAATGTGAATCTAAACTGTAAATATTTCAAATTTTAACATTCACAATGTGAAAAAGCTCCGATCAGTTCAGATTATGCACACTGTGAATCTGAGGAGGTTCACAATGTGAATCTGAACAGGTTTACAATATGAATCTGAACAGAAATATCGTTTTTTTAACATGAATATGAATCTATGTTTAAAAAGTACAAAAATATGAATTTTGATATATTTATTAATTTTTTTTTATAGAAAATAGACCTTAACTTTTTTCATCAAAGAAAATGAAGTGAGTTTTTTTTCGGAAAAAAAAAAGTTCTTTTTTTATATATCATCATGGATCTCTATGGAAAGAGGACGAAAAATCGTGAACAACGGTATATTCGTTTTTTTTTTTTTTTGATAAAAAACATGGCCTAAAAAAAATTTTAAACGAAAAAAAGTGGTGGGTTTTTTTGTAAATGGTGGATTTTTTGGTATAATCCGGTGTATATGCGTCCAATGTAAAAGTGTACATCTATTTCATTGGTCGTTGATCGTTATGATTTCCGACGCTCACGATTGGTTCTTTGGTTCCTTGGTTAATTATGGTTCTCTATTGAACCTCACCCTATATATATTATATATATATATATATCTCTATATATATCTATATATATATATATCTATATATATCTATATATTAAAAATAAAAAAAAATATTTTATTATTTAAATTCGTAAGACTTTAAATGTTATTATATAAATTATAAATTTTATTATATAAATTATATATTATTAATAATTATAAAAAGATGAACATTGACTTTATAACCATTTAATTCAGATTTTGTTTATAACTAAACTAGGTTATAACCCGTGGTTTCCACGGTTGGTATGTAAAATTATTATATAGACGAAAAAGAATACTAAATGTTAGGGTGTTCAAAATATTTAAAAACCGAAAACCGAAACGAAAAACCTAAAAATCGTACCGTTTTTCAGGTTAACCAAACATATATTTTTGAATTTTTCGGTTTGGTTAACCGAATCGGTAAAATCTTCGGTTTTTCGGTCCAGTTAAGGTTCATGTTTTTTTGCTACGGACGGTTAACCGAAAAATCAAAATTTTATTTTCTATTTTTTAAAATATTGTTTATATTTAGTCGTTTAAGTTAACATCAAATTATTTCTTAGAAATTTCGAATTATAATTAGTAATCGTCATATTATTTATATTTTCCATTATAAACCAAAAATGGTCATCATTAACATTTGTTATAAATATACATAGGTTAACATAGATTAAAATTATCATTTCAT